CAAACACCGCCATATGCTCACTTGTTTTGTGATGAATTGGGTCTGCAGCTGACCTATGAGTTTTAACTTTTTCAGTGGGAATTCTGCTTCCAAGTCACTGAGACACTTTGGAAGATGCCATCTTTTGGTAAGATGCCTGTCTGCCATGCTGTAGACAGTTCATAACACCTGGGTTCAGAAAACAGCCAAAGTTTGTGACGCCTGGGAAGATACAATAACCATTCTGTTTCCAACAGAAAGGGGCCATTCTGGCTGCCAGTGGAGCACCTCTGATGCCCCTGGAGCGGTGTGGAAAACCAGTGCTCTTCAGCCACTGTGAATTGTCCTCATCTTTGGCGAGATATTTTTTCTGTCCATACATTTTTATCACAAAGGACACTGTGACTTGCTTTACTTGGAAATAACAAAATCCTCTGATAGAAGTTCCAAATATATGAAACTTGTAAATGAATTTGAAGATGTGAGGAACCACTTGCAATGCTTTTCCCCTCTGCCTATCACTGTTAATTTTCAAGGGATCTAATATGGCTTTGTTCAGAGTTTACCTTAAGGTGATAAACCTGGAGTAGTTCAATGCATGCTGCCTGTCAGTGCTTGAACTGGGCTGTGTGGACACAGTCACTGAAGCCGAGGGTATATGTGAAAGTGAGGTGTAACACAGCAGTAACTCCCAAGCACTCCTCAGCGGCAGTTGAGTATTCTAGGGCAGGATGTGCTTCGTGCCATGAGCAATTACAACATCAGTGTATATTGTACAGTAATTAGTAAGTTCTGCATTTTAAATGCTCTTTTCACTGATGTTTTGTTCTTCCTTTAAAAAAAAGTCATTCTATAATGATGTATTCTGTGATATGAATTAGATATATATATGTATATATATAAAATGTATTATATATGTAGTGATGTATGATATGCACACATGTATCAAATTATGTATATAATTCATATATATGTGATATATTTGATTATATCTTACATCATCATGTCATGATATATTTGTATATATCATATATACAAATACATATGCAGATATATAAACACACATATGTCATATACACATATATATATGCATATGTGGTTGCTTCTGGAAGATACCTCACTGGTTAAATGAAGTGAATGAGTGGAGCACAATATGAAAGTCTTCATGCCATGTTGTCTATTGAGTGTCAGGAACTAAACTTTCCTGCACATTTTTACTGAGACTTGCTAGGATAAACATAGGGACTATATAGGTTGTACTAAGGAGTGGTAGATGAGTTATTCAGAAAATTACCAAGAAGAGCAGGAGGCTTTTTGTCTTTTCATGCATCGAAATCAGGGCTGGATGGTGTTCTGCAAGATCTATCTTAGCCAAGCACAAACTAAAAGACTTAATAGAGGGAAGTAGCTGGGTGAGATATTTGGACCATGATCCAGTTGGTGACATCATTGCTGTCTTCAGCCAGTGGGCTGGCCATATCTGGCGTCTAAAAGGAAAGCTAGACTCTTGTGCAGATGCTGCCTCTGCAAAGTCCTTACCCATTAATTAAAGAAAAGATGCAAGACACTTCAAAATGTGTAATTTCCTTGGTGGGAAACAAAATACAAGTTTCATGTAGCTGTGAGAGCGCTTTCTTTCCAAGTTAGTGCCTGATTCTTCATTTCTTAAGCAAAGATTTTGATTTTTCCATTATCCTGACTTTTCTGTCAGTTGGCAAAGGAAAAGCCTGATGGCCTCTCAACAAATAATGTGGTTTCTGATTAACTCTGAACACATTTACTACAAAGCAGGAGCCATAGATTCTGGGTTATCCTGCTCCATGTTATGCGAGGGAAGGCACTGCTATTTGGAATAAGAGTCCCTACATGTTGTTAATTAGGAGCAACTCCTGTTTAGACAAGCCCCCAAGAAAACTTTTCTGGCACACACACATGCAAATACAGACTGTCTTTATTTGCTGTAAGCATGAATAGGAGCCATGGATGTCAATTTGTCAGTATTAAAGGGTTGCATGTCCCCGTTACAGTTCACGGGCAATTGCTCAAACATTTTAGTTCTCACAGTTTTCTGCAGGTTGGAGAGGCTGTGGCCCCAAGTGCAAAATCTGGCTGGTAATCTTGAATGATACATGGAATTATGTATGGATGAGGTACTGTGTACACAAGATTTTTTTCTGAAATTAAGCCACTAAGTTGTAGAAAGAGAGACAACTTTTCCAAGGGTCATTGAATCAAGGTGTCCCTCCATCACCCCTTGTTTTTTGCCCTCTCTCTGCTCCCCCTTCTCCTCTCAGACTGGTCAGGGTTCGTCATTGTGCTAATTCTCTTAAGCAGCAATCGAGAAAAGCTTCTAGCGAGAGAAATGTGACTGGTCCCAAGCTGTATCTCCTGCAGTCATCCTGTAGACTTGCTGGCAAAAAGTGATTCATGGTATTTAAAAAGGTCTTTTGGTGAGAAGCCTGTTTCCCAATGCCAAAGGATAAAGAATTTCCCACTTCACTTGAGTGTTGGTTCCTGTGTATAAATGCGTTCACTGCTACTTTTTTTTTCCCTTTTTTATCCCATTTGATTTGGCTCCCAATAAAAATGGCTAAACACAAACACATTTTTACAATTCCTGCCTAAACTTTTGATTTGTATACTGCAATATATGCTCAATAACTTTACCTGAAGCTTTTATATTTGTAGTTTATACTAGGTATAAATTTCGATTTCAACTACAATTTCAATTTATTGAGCTACTTCTCCTCCTTAAACTTTGATTTTTAGCAAGTTTCTGACAGAGAGAACAGTATACACCACCACTGAGAAAATCTGAATTCCCTTTCTATTCTTTATTTCAAATAAATTAGTCTGGCCATAATTCAGTATGTATACAATTGCTACTGACTGCAGAAAAAGTACCCACTTCCCTTTGGAGATTGTGGATAATTTGGGGTTTCATGTTTCTTGAGGCTTATGTGGTCACGTTCTGTCTGACTTAATGATTTCATAACCTCCAAGCAAATTTGGATCCTCTTCAGCAAGTAGGTGGACATAATTAAGATTATGAGATTTCTATGAGTTTTATGAATATAGGCAAAAAAGTTGTAGTGGGAACCCATGTCTTTTGACATGACAGAGAACTTTAAATGTTTATAAACCCACCAACTGCACGAAAGCTCTCAGTCAGAATTTCAGACATAAATATACTTAGTTCTGGGACTCTTGGCTACTCATTTGTTTGTGGAATACCAAACCACTCCTGGCACACTCCTACACAGTGTTTGAACAAAAAAATTCATAGACTGTTTTTCCCTATTGTCTCGTATGACCTCCATCCATTTAGACTTACACTGGTGAAAGGTGAGTCGAACAGTCTGTGTATGTATGATACATTCTTTCCCTATCTTTGCTCTTGCAGATTATTGTGCTACATAAGAGTGGATGAACATTAACAGAACCTGGAATATATTTTAAATTTAAAGCTCAGTCAGACACACGGATAATTGTATGTTCTATAATTAAAACTGTGTAGGCTTTTCTTTCTAAGTATGGCAACAACTGTTAGAGCACATCTGGAAAATATGCTTTAAGCAAATGTATTTTAGCTTAGAGAATTTCACAATGCATGGGCTATTTACCAGCACTTCTTTCCAGAATACTAATCTGATTTATCAGTATTTTTAGTATAAAAGTCTTCATTTTTTTTAATGATGTTTGCAAAGCTGGTTTTGAATTCGTATCACAGATTGGCCATTCCAGTGTAGCTCAAGGCTAAATGCTGCAAAACAAAAACATTGCGTTGCTACTATTTTTAGGTGGAAGCCTATGTAAGCCTTGTCTAATGCCCTAATAATATTTTCTTCACTGATTTCAGCCAAATATTTTCCCCTTCTTTGATTCTAAAGAGAAATAATTCTTTCATACTGGAATCACATTGAGAAGAAGATTGGTCTTATGGCTGGATTCCTTTTGTGTTCTTCTTGAGGCTCATGTTAAAACCCTTTTGCGCTGTCTCCCTCTCTAGAAAATAGATTTTTGTACACCTTGCAATTATTATAGCATTACTCAAATCTTCTTTGAAGTCAGTGGGTGTTTGCAAGGTAGGATCGTGGCCACTTCAAAACGAATGGCAATATTTCTGTTTGTGATAGGAGCCCAAGCATTGCGGTTTCTGTGCTTTCTTCAGAACTATTGTATAGACATGGCACTACAAAACTAGAATTATTAAAATTATTAATTAAAATAGAACCAGGAAAGCATAAAACGTTAAAAAACTTTAATTTTTTTTTAAAAACCTCTATCCATTAGTTTATTTATAATGTTACTCTTTTTGAGAAATTATGACTAAAAATAGAGATGCAGAACCCCAGAACTTTTGCTAACAAGGTAATACTCTAATCAAGATTTTGCATTCTGACCCAAGCGTCTCAAAACCAGCCAACCAACTTGCTTTCAAGATGATGGAGGTGATTTTGCATTTACCAACAGTTCCCTGACTGAGAAATCAGTTTCCCCTTATTTAGAGTAGAAGGCAACTAGGCAACTTTTTTGTGCTAGATAGCATAGTGTTGGAACAGCTTTGCACCTGAATTTTAAATCACAAATGCTATGCGTGTTGTGCAGCTGGAGGCAAAATACAGTTATCTAACCAAGGAAGAAACTACAGCTAAAAAAATGAATGAGATTAAAAAAATCTATGGCAGTGATACCACAAAATGAAAGAGTAATTAGTAGCAGTGTAGGAAAATTAATTCCAAATTATTGACAGTTTAATTCACCTACGGGAAGTATTTTAATGGGATTGATATGCTGTGCTGTTCTTAATTTTTTAATGTTTTCCACTGGGGAAGAAAACAGTTTTTCCAAGAGTGAGGTTTAAAGTTGGACATGTGACCGCATCTCTTTCTCTTCCATCCGTCACCTGCAAAGCCCATTCCATGAGCAAGGCTTAGATGCCTCTGCTCCACTCCTTCCCCAGTCTTGCTGCTTACAAAGGCTCTTTGCAGATGATGTTCACAAGGTGATTTGATCCCCAGGCTCCGACTGCATGAAGAAAAGGTCATTAAAGATCGGCGGCACCACCTCAAGACGTATCCGAACTGCTTCGTTGCCAAAGAGCTGATCGACTGGCTGATTGACCATAAAGAGGCCTCCGACCGAGAGACGGCAATTAAACTGGTGCAGAAATTACTGGATCACAGCATTATCCACCATGGTAAGTCAATGTTGGCTGCTAAAATGGTCTAAGCTAAATTTTATTGACTGCTGTGAAACAAAGGGAAATCCTACTCCTGCTTTTCAACCAAGTATAGGACAGGTAGGAACCTGTCCCTGCCAGAAAGGGAGCATCTCCCTTGACTGGTGCTGCTCTACGAGGTCCCCTATGTCCAAAGGGACACGGAGAGGCTGAAGAGGTGTAAAAGGGACATTCCCCATGTCAGTACAAGGCAGGGAAGCCACTGGAGACTGTACTGCTGACCTCAGAGCAGCCCCAGTTGGATCCTGTCCCCTGTCTCCCTGCTGCCCTCACCTCCCTGGTCCCCAGAACACAGTTTTGCAGCTGAAAAACCCATCTGAAAACTCGCTGGCAAAAAAAGATCATTTTTCTCACATGGATTAGTTCTCTGGCCCCGTCCCTCACACCAGCTGCACAAACATTAGTGCTGGTACAGCTGCAAGAAAGTTAGTGGTCCAACTGTGCCCTGATTAATTTTCTCCTAAACTTGTTGTCTATTTGAGATCTGTTCCTTTCAGCTTCTTGAATAACTGTTTACGCTGATGAAAAGGAGACTTCCAATTCAGTGGTAGCATTTAGTTGCCTTTTGGTGCACGAAAAGGCTAGGAAGCACACAAACAAAGAAAATCCAAGCCCTTGATTTTAAGCGTATAGTATTGGCCATCTCAAAAAGGCAAAATGTACCGTTTGTTTCTTTTTTAAAAGAAAATGGAGCAACTGCGAACAGACGAATGTTGACTTTATGCAGGGGTCACTGTCTGTGCAGCAGTTAACAACACCTTAATTAAAGGAAGAAATGCACATATTGAATGAGTGCCACTTTTACAGCTTCTGTTCAGCTATTAAATTAAAATTCTGGGTTGTTATGGAAACTGGGACTCACGGTAGATAGTTAAAGAATAAAGTAATTACAGGGTACTCAAATCTGACTACTTAATCCTCTATTGAGAAAATGTCAGTGAAGAGTTGTGTGGATGTCTGAGTGACTTAATTTAATTGAGCAATAGATGTTTTATTGGTGAATGCTAGTTTAAAGCTTGAACAACCTTCAAATGTTTTCTACCTCAGGATCCAATTGCATACTGTAACTTCTGTACAAATTTTATATATATGTGTGTGTATATATTACACATAAAGCAGGTGTTTCTTAAAAGAATCATGTATTACTCTTAAATTTAATAAATTTGTTTACAAAATAGGCTTGCTCAAATTTAGAGAGGTTCGATCAGGTTCTGCATGATGCTCAGAGCATCCTTTCAACTCCTATGCCTGGTGAAAGAGTTCTTGTTTCTCTGCTGCAGAAGGTGAGCCCATGTTTGTGGGCTGACAATTCTGCTGGAAGCAGCTTGGTTGGGATTTCTTTCCCAATAATTTATGCCCTTGCTGGAGCCTTGTTCTGCATTTACAAGAGCCCATTGGCAGCTGCTGTCTTATAAACATGATTTAGCATTTCTTGGTGTGTTCCTGTTGTACCCACCATTTGCTAGCTGGTGTGGCAGAGCAATTTTAAGAGGGCAGGCTTTAATTTTAACTGTTTCTGCAGCAAGTCTCGGGTTTGCTCAACTGATACAAGTAACTTTAAGAAATTTGCCAATACTTAGATTATTGGGTGTTCTACACTGGTGACCTTTTAAACAAACAAGCTAACAAGACTTTTTTTGTCAAGAGGTTTTTCAGGTATATAGCAGATGGATGATTTTTTGCTCTTTATGTTAGCAGTAATACTCATGTAACTGATGAATAACTATCCCCCTCACCTAGAAATCTGGTTATCTGAAAATTTTCTCCAGCTTTTCATCAGTTACTAGAACTGAATAGAGTTGTATGCTTAGAAATAGTGGGGGTTAGGCTCCATGTGTGCTTGCTTTGAAGTTCAGCAGTGATGCCTGCTACATGGATCCTCAGCTCCGTAACGTCTATATGAGAGTTTTTATTTTCATTTTACATTTCAGTCTGTGATGAGCATAAGGAATTCAAGGATGTCAAACTGTTCTACCGCTTCAGAAAAGACGACGGGACATTTCCGCTGGACAATGAGGCGAAGGTGTTCATGAGAGGACAAAGGCTGTATGAAAAGTATGTTACATTAAGTATCCATAATGTGTGGATAATAGTACCACGGGAGGAAAATGATACTTGTTATTCTACTTCGGAATAGTCAGAGGCTTTCAAATCATGTAGGAATAAGTCTGGGTAATCCCATGACTTTAGTTGGTAACCCTTCTCTCTCTCCCATTTCCTCTTCCCTTTTCTACCATGTTCAATTGTAGCATTTTGTTTAGAATGAAATTGTATTTTCTTATATTCTGGGTTGTAAGTAGATCTTATATGAGAACTCAGTGTCGGTTTAAGCCCTTGCACTGTGTTCTGTAAAAATAATTACTAATGGATGATTTGTCATGTAAAATTGTAAATGCAAGACCTAAAACATTACTACGTCAAAACGTACCAAAAAAGTGGCTATATACCTGTTGAGACTCCATATCTCCAGCTTCATCAGGAGGTATCATCTTAAATAATATGTGAAATTAATCTTCAGTGTTCCAGCCTGCGGAGCTGCTACATCAGAAAGGTTATATTAAAAGTAGTTTAAAAAAAAACCCAAAACAACCCAGCCAAGAACATCTAATTAAGATTCAAAACAGATGATTATGCTGAGATACTGAATATCCCACTAGATTACTTCCGTCAAATAACTAGGCATCTTAACCATACTTCCCAATCTATAATTAAAGACATTTTTATTCAGGATGTAGAGATTGTGACACAGTACTTTCAAGCAGAGAGATTAAAATGCGTGTTGGCATATGCTACAAACTAATGCAAAAGTTGTGTTATTTACCACAAAGCTTGAAGTATTGCTCTAGACTGAATACCACCTGCTCTTCTGCCTGGTTAGAACAGAAGCATGCAGCAGTGGGGAGACATGCTGTGTCTTCTGGCTGGAGGAGTTTTGTTTTCCTCTTAGAATAAAGCACTCGGGAAAATCCCAGATTTAAAAGCTGATGATAAATGTTATTTTCAAGGTTAAAAGGCTCTGAAGGTCAATTTGGTGAAAGAACAATTAAACTGAAATATAAACCGATAATTGTAAATGCCACTCCTTGTGTTGCACCCATCATATAAAATTCTGTGAGACTCAGTGACTGTGACTATTTAAAGTAAAAACAAAACAAAACAACCCAACCCCCCCCCTTTTTTTTCCAAAAAAAAAAAAACAACAAAAAAAGAAGACACTATAAAATGCAACACTGAAAAAAATCCTTCATTGGATGCACTGGGACAGATGAATTCAATCACTCACCTCCAAAATCTTCTATGCCTTAGTAAGCACAGCCTTTGCTCCTTTAGACTCTGTAATTCGCAGTGTCTGCAAGCTTGGCCCATACAATGAAAAGCTGATTGGTGTGTCTACAGTAGCAAACATTTTTTTCTACTTATTTTATATATTTCTATTTCTATTCTTCTGTGAGCAAAGTAATTTTTTGTTGGTGAGGCTGATAACAGTCCTCTGCATGAAACGAGCCATGGTGGGAAGAACTCTGTTCTGCCAGTGTCTACTTCCATCCCCATTTCTCTGCATGGAGAACCATCCCTAAACCAATGTCCTGTGCACAGTTTGCCCAACACTGTACTAGCAGAAATAAGTTCATAATAGTATAGATTGTTCCCATCTTAGAAAAGGAGTTAATGCCAAAAGCAGCACCTATATCTAAATATAACTGCATCCTCATGAGGTGGTTGCTCCTAGGCAATGTATCTGAAGGGTTCAGAAACTTTTGAAACCAGCCCTGAGTGCTAAATATAGTAAAGATTAAAAATACATGGCATTTCAAAACCAGTCTGTGACAGTCAAAGCTAGTAAAAATTCTCCACGGATCACTGGAAATACTTTATGTTCATGTGAGATAAGAATGCATGCCTGGGCTATCTCAGCTTCAGCTTGTTTATTGCAGCAAATCCACCACGAGATCCCTTGTCCATGCACACTTATAAGCAACACTTTTGCAATTTCATTGGGTGTATTTTAAATTCAAAATCTAATACTGAAGTCTACAGAAAGAGTTCTGCATGGAACTGTGTGTATGTGTAATATATCTGTTGTATCAGTTTGCTTATAGTGTTGAGAAAGAAAATATTAATTCAGTGCAATTAAAATAGTTATTAGAGGGCAACAACTGGAGAAAAGTATTCATGCACAGACGTCAAGTCACTTACCAGTATATTCAGCTTGTTTATCAAAATGCCTGCAGGCCTAATTTCAAGAGATATGCAACTATCCCAAAGAAATTCTGTCTGAATCCAACATATTTTAAAAATCTGTGTCTAATTTTGTAGATGTTGCTTATCTTCACTAGGCTTTGCTAGTTCAAGATGAACATTGTCATACTATTTCCTGCTCTTCTCCACCCACCTCATTAGGGCTGGAGTACCATTACATTCAGAAGCCAGTATAGTTTGTGCTTGCCAAAAAGTGTGTTATCCAACATCAGTCCATGTAGGTTTGTACCCTCAACGGGTAAAATGAGCAAAATACTGTGGGAGGATCAGCAGGTTCTTGCATGGGCAGAGGAGTGGATGTGTTAGGCAGGTTCCCTGGATTCAGACGGCTGTTTTGGGTAAATGCTCTATGCTCTCCCCTGGGACACAGGAATGTTAGGACTGATCCCACAATGAGGACCTCCCTTTCCCTGTCTCCCTTCTGTGTGACCACAAAGCTCCTTGTACTCTGGATTCTCGTCTCTTGTGGCATTCCCTCGTTCACCTCCTGTGAATTGCTTCAGTGGCTGTTCTTGTGCCATTAGAAGATTTAAAACCAAGTCTCTCACGGTATTCTCCCTTCATTTCCACTGAAAATCATCAATCAGCTCAGATTTCTTGCACATCATTGCAAGCTTTGATAATCCTTTCTCTGAACGTGCTTTGAATTTATAACCAGAGATGAAACCTACTGGTTTTCCTACAGCCTTGTCTGAAAATGGTTGAATGGTTTATTAGGTCCAAAGATGGTATCAGTTTTCGTACTTCATAGGACTGACCAAACAGATTGAATGAGATAAACATGTTTCCTGTTCAACAAAACCCTTCTTGCAAATCTTAAATAAATCCAGCACAGAACTTTCATGGCTTAAAAAAAAAAAGGTCGAGTTGTGCAGAAATCCTAATTTTATGATGTTTGCAAGTCTCAGTACATTTTGGTCATGACTGTTGTGTTTCTGGTGCACTCAGGTTTAGGAGCTATAAGTCATCTCATGATGTTGGCTTGAACTGAGATTTTTCATCCCGATTTCACAGTGAAAGAAGTGCAGATTTATGGTTTCAATTTCAGGAAATCAATCAGATAATTTTGAGACTGCATTCTTTGAATTGCTTTCGTTCTAACTCATCAGTGGTTAATTCAAATTTATCTTCAGGCGCAGTTATTTAGATAAAACAAGGTTAAAATTTTATTTTGAAAAGGGATTGAATTTCAGTGTTTGGCTAAATCCATTCCCTTAATACAGGATAACACCAGTTTTAGCAAATAATATGTTTTGACCTGAGTGGCCTCGTGTTTTTTTTGAAACAAGGAGAAAGTTGGAGAGAGAGGCAGTTTCAATTCTGGATAATAAAAAGGCCAGGTTTTTGGCTGAAGTAAATTGATGCAGCTTTGTTGACAGCAGCGGAGTTGCAGTGATTTACTTCGGTTATCCATGTAAATCTATGGATTGCAGTTTCTGGGTTTGTTAAACTGTCAATTTGTTGTGTCTTTTTGTTCACAAGTCCAAATCCTTTGCAGCGCTATTCTGGGCACACGCAGAAGGGTGTGAAATGTCAAGCTGAGTGTTTTTCCACTTGATATTTTTCCAAATTTCTTTTGTCTCTCTGTGAAAGTCTAACAATTAGCATCTCTTTTTCAAGGACCCCTCTATCTGTGACTTCAATGAGCTGGTCAAGTAATTAGAGACTCATCAAAGAATAATTAACACAATCCTAAGGATTTTTTATTTGGTGCCCGCAGAGCCTGGGTAACCAGTTCTGAGTAACCATGCAGCAGATGGTACGCAAAGACACGAGCTTTGGGTTTGCATTTTTTTCTGTGGGGGAGAAAAGCCTGGTACATGAGACACATTTAAAGATGTTCCCTTGGAGCTCTGTCTGTATTAGATGTGGTTAGTATAGGAGAAAATGTTGCCTTGCGGGCAGATGCTTGTAAATCAAAATATGAAAAAGAGAATAAAGTCTTTGCAAGAGTTCTGGAGTCAACACCTTGTCCTCTGTGGCACATACTCTTGCTTTTGGCCTCATCTGTGCCTTCAGCTAATTTTAACTTTCTTAGGTCTTACTCAGCTCAGAGGTGCTAGCAAGGCCACACCAATATCTCATGGAGGGGTTCATTATAAATGGCACTGAGAAATAACTGGGGCTTGAGCAGCCTTTGCCTGGTTTGGTGATCTGCCTGGTGAGCAGAGACAGCCAGGTCAGGCTTCTGGGCAGCTTTCCTTAACGTCAAGGGAGTAAATCTTCCAGGTGAAATAACAGAGACTGGATCCTGTCAAACCTCCTCACTGGAATTTCCAATGAAACTTTTCTCTGTGTCCTTAAGGCACTGATTTTTCTGATGCCTTGCAAAGGAGGTACAGTTATATTATATTTTCTGCTGGCAGTTTAAGAAGGAGATGGGCCCTGTATGGATTTACATGAAATTCAAATTTTTGATCAGAAGGGCGAAGATTAAGCACTTCCAGAATATTCCTGTTGCAGTTCAGTTGTGCCCTTAATTTCACAGAATTACAGAATTCATCAAAATATAGGGAAGGGACTTACTAGTCTTACATGGAAAAAATAACTATGCCATTCTTGAGCTGTTATTCTGAAAGTCTTATTGCTGGTCCTGTTATTAGCCCATAATAAATAACATAATGATGAATAAAAATCAAATTAGTAAAGTAAAGTAAAAAGGAGGCTATAGTGTTCAGTCTCCTAACAAAAAAAACCAAAACAAAATTTTAAAAAGTGGGATTCTGTATTAAAAGGGAATGGTTGTCATTTCTTCTTACAAACTGTCTTCTCTTTCAGACTGTCAACTTTACTTTTGCATTAACAAAATACTGATGCTTTTTTTCTTGTTTTTTAATATTGTGTCACTTGCATAGGTTACTTGAATAAAGTAGAATTTTATTTGTATCTTTAAGCTAGGCACATGCCAGTGGCTAGGAGATTTGTAGACACCTCGCAGGGCTCCTCTGAACTCTGGTGTTACACTGAGGCACAGAGACTCTGAGTCTTGGGTGTTGAAATGTGTTCAGGTGTGTAACTCCCTGAGTGCACCTGCATCACTGAGTGTTGGATGCTAAACATTTATCAACCACCCAAACCACAGAACTACCTTTTCTTCTTCCTCTTGAATTTTTCTGCAGCTTTTAAAGCTTATGGGGAGAATTTTCAAAACCATCTAAATGACTTTGAGGCATGGTCCTGCTAACTGTGAAAACTAATTAGGAAATTTTGAACAGATTAGTCACGATCTAGTGCTTTTAGGCTAATTTTATTTCAAAGTTGTTTATACATTAACTTTTAGAGAAGGTAAAGAACTTAATAGGGGAAATGGGAAACTGAAAAACCTTGTTTTCTTTTAGGGAAAAACAAAGAAGCATTAACTTCACACAGGGATATAAAGCCTAAATTATTTGACTAAGCAGTTACACTTCACATCCTAAGTTTAGATTGATAGCTTGAAGAAAGACTTAGTAAGTCAGTGAAAGGTTTGCTTCTGTTTGCTTAATATCAGTGAGATTTGCTAGAATAAATCTGGAATTGCTTTTCTGAAGAATCATTTTCCCTGCCAATTCCCCCCCCCCATACCAGGCTGATGAGTTCTGAAAACACCCTTTTGCAAGCCAGGGAAGAGGAAGGAGTCAAGTACGAACGGACCTTCGTGGCGTCGGAGTTCATCGACTGGCTGATCCAGGAAGGAGAGGCCACAACACGGACTGAAGCAGAGCAGCTCGGCCGCAGACTTTTGGAGCATGGGATTATACAGCACGGTGAGAAATTTAATGCCAGGTACCAAAAGCTATGCCTTTTGTAGCACTTTCTTCAGGTCAAATCATGTGGAGGGGCTCTTGTCATCTTTGTCATAGTATGTCTAAGTTCTAAATAATTTCAGGTAGGAGTCTCAGTAACTTCATTTAATAAAAGGGTGGCTTTTCAAAAGCTCCTTGTATTGGTTCTGAAAATTCTCCCTCAAATGCAGAATGCAGTTAGAATTTGGGATTGTATAATAACAACATAAGGATGTGGATGAAAATCAACACTGATGCACCTGTGAGAATTAACCTGTAGGACTTGTTATCAGCGATATGTATAATTGAAGTAAATAGCTTTGTAAGGTTCGAGTAGGAATTAGAGCCATAAATAAGATAAGTTTTCTATGTATAATAAAAATGACAGATTCAGTATATCTTCCTACTTGAGGACAGGAGCAGAGCAGAATCAGATGCCAGAAATGGAGCTTTTGCTCTTTGTCGTGTTCCAGAGTTGTTCTAATGTGTTTGGGCAAGAAAGAGGGTATAACTTTCAGATGAAATATTATAATATTTGTCCTGCTGGTGTAACTTCTTTGAGGCAGGAATCAAATATTTTTTCATGGTCCAGCACAATGTGACTGGCAGATGCACCTTCACCAAGGAGCTCCCTCTGTTAAGGGTGGAGAAGACAGTGTTTCCTTTCCATACCGCCACGAGAGTGAAGAAATGAACACCCTTGGCACTAAAACTCATTTTACATGTTATCCTCATCTACTCTTGGTACAAGCTGCCCTTCTTTGACCAGGCTTTTTCCACCACAAATGCATTGTAGTGCCTCTGGGAGTGATGAAGGGGTGCCAGGAGGTGACAGAACAAGCTGGCAGTTGCTCTGAGCAGCATTGCTTAATGCACAACAGGAAAGTAATGAGATCCCAGTGATCCGAATGTCGTCGCATCAACACTAGTTCTGACAGAGAACACCCAATTCACGATATTAACAGGTGCTAGATTGACTAAGTTGCTTGTTGCTTTGTGAGAAATCTTAGTTTTAAGGAACAGAGAAAAATGGGAGTATAAGTGACCTACATAGTTCCTTCATGGTTGTAATCATGCTCACATTATCTTTAGCTTCCAATTACTAGGAGTTACTTCTGAATGTTTACAGTAATCAGCTTCCAGTTCTATAATTACTCCTCTGCTTCCTATGATTTATAGGGTGCCAACTGCTTGGAGCTTGATGGACAGGGAAGGTATGCCACTCTTCCTCTTAATAGCAGCAATGATTTCATTCCTATTTTTATGCAAGCATTTTCTGTGTATTAGACACAAGGTAAGCTTTCCTTAAAGAGAAAGGGGGTGGGGGGGAAGAGACAGGAGTGAGATTTATGCTGCTATTGATGTTTTTGCAGAGGAAATAAAGTCAGGACTTGATACTTGGTGCAATGCTGGATTTACTTTGCTACTGAAGTCTTTGCAGAGCTCAGAAAGTCAGGATGTGGCTTTTATTGCAGATCAACCATTCATTAACTAAGGCTTAGTGGTGCACCTTGGCAGGGAAATGATTTTGCCCCCGTCAAGCTGGGTTTCTGAGGGGAATCGTGATCAATGCTGACCCTGCTCACCCTTATGCATTGCCCTGGCCAGGTTTGCAGATTTATCCCCTGCCCGTCCTCTTCTAGCAGCCAAAGTGCTCTCTTAGAAAGAATTTTGAAACTCACAAAGTGACCGCGAACGGGGTGCTGGTAATTGGTTGATTGCTGAGGAAGGGGCCTTCTCACTCCAAGTCATCATCTTCCTCACTCAGCTCTTACTGGGGCAAAGGTAACTTAGTCGGGATTTCACACTTACTTGTTGGGAAGTTGGAAGTAAAATAAAACTCAGTGATGTCCTTGAGATTTATCTTTTCCAGTGGATGCTAAGCAGAAGATTTCACTCTCCTCTGGATTTCACTGAAACAATTTCACAGAATCACACAGAACCACAGAATCTTAGGAGTTGGAAGGGACCTCGAAAGATCATCCAGCCCAACCCCCCTGCCAGAGCAGGATCACCTAAACTAGGTTGCACAGGAACGTGTCCAGGTGGGTTTTGAATGTCTGCAGAGAAGGAGGCTCCACAACCTCTCTGGGCAGCCTGGTCCAGTGCTCTGTCACCCTCACAGTAAAAAAGTTTTTCCTCATATTTGTCTCAATCATGTTAGGAATACTGATGAGAGTACTGACAGAACTAATGCAGGGCTGGTGTGGGGTTCACCTTAGCATTTTGAAGGTTTATATACTGCTGGCTTCCTCTAAGAAGGGAGCTCAAAACGAGAACTCCCAATACAGAATCGGGAATATAAGCTATAAACCGTCAGGAGTGGTATTCTCTTCCCTGCTTTCCCCACCCTGTCTCACTGAATTCTAAGCCCAATTACAAAAAAAAAAGGTATTTTTCTGTCTTTTAGTACAGTAAATTTATTTAATCATACTATGCTGCCTTTGTTTTGTATCTCATCAGCAGTACCAAAATGTTACTTGACACTAATTGGCATCCTTGTTGGCAGAACCAGCACAGAGTCTCGACTGTGCAGGAGTGGAGAATAAAACATTTTCCTTTCCTAAAGGCAATCTTTTGCCAGCAGTATTGTTTGATATCCACAGTATGGAATAAAATAAAGCTTGCTCTGCTTTTCTTACAAAGTATTTATTACCTTGCCTAATGCAATAGAAAGTAATAGAAATAGTTGTATCAAGTTGCCAATGTCAGTAGTAATTTTCCAGCCACAACTGAATTGTGCAATTTATTTTTACTGATACTGACTTTCATTTCAATTACTCTGAGAAGCTCTATTCTGCAGCTGAGGTGCTGTATTCAAACAGCTTCCTGTCACATTTATCTTCACTTTAATTGGTCAGACACAAACCAGGTTTCACACAGGAAACAAACACTGATGCTAATTTTAAAAAGGAAAACAGCGGTTTAAGAGGAATTGTATAAATGCTGTAAAAACATCAAATGTTTCAGTTTAAAAATAATCTTCCTGATCTCTTTGGGCTTATATAACTATACATATTTCCCCTGCTGTACATGAAAATGATGAAACGTGCAAGTGCTGAATTGCTTCCTTCCAAAATGCCACTGGCACATGCAAATCATAACCCACAAACCACCATTTTCACAAATTGGAGCCAGATGTCCTTTCCTATGGACTGGTATCCCCAGGTACTATGGAATAATAATAATAAAAATAAGTAGAGTTTTATGCACTGTACATTTCTTGGAGGCTTGTGTTGGCAGTGTAATTGTCAGTAGTTGCTCTGCATTTGTGAACACTGATGGTCTTCTCCAGAATATAGGAATAAAGGTTTTGTGAAGAGTTAGAAACATGGTGATGCACATCCAAAGGGCAAGGACAAAAGGCACACAGAACACATTTCTCAGCTGCAGAAAATCCCATTTCTAGCATGGTGAGGTATGTAGAGCTTTTTAATATTAACGGATAAGACTTTCCACCAGGAGACTGGATCTTTCCTAGTTCTTCATATGGAAATGGTGAGACAGATTCGCTACTGTGGTCAAAACTCATGTGCAGCAAGAGCAGAAGGAAGTTCTCTGTGAACTCCAGGATAGATCACATCAAAGCCAGGACGGGTTAAGGGCAGGCAGAGGAAAGTGTAGACATCCACACACAGTCACAGCCCTTGCTCAGTCTGGAAAACAGAGGTACCGAGATGTCCAAGAAGGAAAAAGGGTATCCACAGAGTCCTTTCTGGCATCTTTTTATGGCTCATACTTGCTTATGGCACTTGCTGCAGCAATTACCCTGCTCCCGCAGCCTCAGCAGCAGAGCACCACTGATGTGACAGGGGCTAGGCCCTCCTCTCAGCACTCGTTGGGTACAGACACTGGGAGGACGGAGAAACATCTGCATGCCTTGCAGAAAGTTTTACAGTCTGGAATCTCAAGTGGTAAATGCTTTCCATTTTAAAATCTGGTTAATAGTGTTAAGAGGAACCTGTGCCTTAGGATAGCAGCTGCACTTCACAAGGTGAATATTTGCATTTCCTCTGTGGCAGCAACCAAAACGTAGCATGTTTAGAAATACTTTTCAGTATGTTGTGGAGTGTAAGAACATAGCGATTGCCCTGCACCACTGATAGTATGGCATGTGCCACTCTCCTGGTCAAGCCTGTGGGAGATGTGTGTCTGAGCAGCAGTGCTCACCAGCCCATGCCAGGTCACATTCTCTCCCTTTTGCCATTTCTATTTTCCAAGCTGCTACTTGCCTTAAAGAGCATGTGCTTGATGTTATTTCCTGTCCGACATCCCTCCAGCACATTCCCCAGGCAGCAACCCCAGCAAGGTTCAGCATGCAGTGGTTTGCATGGCTGCCTGCTCTGCTCCAGGGAGGTGGGGATGCAGATTCTGGCCATTAGACCAGCAGAGGAACATATGCGTGATGGGTTCTGGAAAGGTCATAACCTTTACTTTCCTGAATGAACAAGGGGTGGAAAAATCTCTTCCAGAGATGACTGGCTAGCAGGCATCTTCCTTTGAGACATTTTATCAGTGCTAGGATTTTGTAATGGTAGTAAAAAGCATTTGGCACTATCCTGCACAACATACTTGTCTATAAATTGGAGAGACATGGACTTGATGGATAGACCACTCAGTGCATAAGGAATTCCTGGGATGGTCGCGATCAAGAAGTTGTGGTCAACAGCTCAATGTCCAAGTGAAGACCAGTGACAAGTGGTGTTCCTCAGGGGTTGATATTGAGGCTGATGCTGTTTGACATCTTTGTCAGTGACATGGACAGTGGGATTGAGTGCCCCCTCAGCAGGTTTGCCAACACCACCAAGCTGTGTGGTGCAATCAACACGCTGGAGGGAAGGCATGCCATCCAGAGGGACCTGGACAGGCTTGAGAGATGGACCCAGGTCAATCTCATGAAGCTCAACAAGGCCAAGTGCAAGGTCCTGCACACAGGTCAGGGCAGTCCCAAGCACAGATATAGATTCAGTGGAGAATGGATTGAGAGGAGCACCAAGGAGAAGGACTTGGGAGTGTTGGTTGACGAGAAGCTCAATATAAGCCAGCAATGTGCGCTTGCAGCCCAGAGAGCCAAGCGTATTCTAGGCTGCATGAAAAGAAGTGTGACCAGCAGGTTGAGGCAGGTGATTCTCCCCCTCTGCTCCACTCTTGTGAGACCCCCACCTGGAGTATTGTGTCCAGTTCTGAGGCCCCCAGTATAAGAAGGACATTGAGCTGTTGGAGTGTGTCCAGAGAAGGGCCACAAAGATGATCAGGGGCTGGAACACCTTCCCTATGGGGAAAGGCTGAGAGAATTGGGGCTGTTCAGCCTGGAGAAGAGAAGGTTCCAGGGAGACCTTATTGCAGTCTTCCAGTTCCTGAAGGGGCCCTACAGGATAGCTGGCAAGGTGGTGCAGTGAGTGATAGGACAAGGGGTGATGGCTTTAAACTGGAAGGGGGTAGATTTAGACTAGATATTAGGAAGAAGTTCTTCACTATGAGGGTGATGAGACACTGGCACAGGTTGTCCAAGGAAGTTGTGGATGACCCCTCTCTGGAAGTGTTCAAGGCCAGGTTGGATGGGGCTTTGGGCAACCTGGTCTCGTGGGAGGTGTCCCTGCCCATGGCAGGGGTTGGACTGGGGGAGCTTTGAGGTCCCTTCCAACCCAAACCATTCTGTGATAAATAGGTGGTAAGATGTCCTAGGCATCATATAAGTGTCTTCTGCCCCTGCCCCCCTTCAGAATGCCTCTTAGCTTTTAAAGGTTTTGTTGAGTTAAGTGCACTTGGCCAGACCTGGTGCATTCAAGGCAGGCACGTGTTCTGCTGGTTTAGCACAGAATCAGTTGCTTACCACCTCTCAAGAGTTAATCTTTTATCAGCAAAACTCCACTGTGCAAATTACTTTCAGAGATGAAAACAAACATTTTGTAGTGACTTAGTGAGAACAGTAAATATTGACAAATGCTGTCTCCCTGTCTCTGCAGAAAAGTCTTAAAATGTGTATTTAATTTTCCCTATTCTTTGCAAGGACTCTGTACCTTTATACAGCAAAATTGCCCTTAACAAGATGATCAGTGCATTTAGTTTTAAGTGTCAAGATACATGATACAGCTGAAAGTTTGTTATCATTGTTGAAGTAGATTATCTAAATTTTTTTTCCTTTTGTTGAAAAGCTTTCCCTCATCTAAAATTTCTGTAAATGGTAAAGTATGTGTTGTTACATTTGCTTTAGATGTCCAATTGCTTATGATTAACTGACATTTCTTACTTTGTAAAAGAAAACTTGCCATATATGTGAAATACACACTTCTTCCTTAATTTAAGATTTCTCTTTGGAACCCTTTTTCTTGAAAATATCAACTGCAGGTAGCAATTTATAAATGCCACTGAACCATCCCATAAATCTTTGACTTAAATAGTTGTAGGTTTTCTCCTTTTAAATTAACACATAGATTTTTTAAAATAGCATTTTCCTAGGTGATCTAACACCTGGATCACGTCAGCTGTTGGATTCATTGTGTATACTCCAAGCATTCGTTGTGTATACTCCATGCTAAAAATTATAAAACATCACATTTTTACAGATGGTGCCTTGATTTATCTCAGTAAAACACAAACCTTCATTTAGCCTTTGAAGTCCTGCAACAGAATTTTGGTTTCATTATATGCCCGGTTCCCCCTGCGACGATGCCATGCAGCGGCACTCAGTTGTTTATTGTGTGGCTGTTCTTCCCCAGCTATTCCCATACACAGGGACAGTAACCTCACCCATGATAATTCGAGTGCTTATGCTAAATCTGGAGAACACTTTGCGTATTTTTCATTATTTTGCCCTGGTAGAAAAGTCAGAGAATAGAAGCTTCATATATAATGGTATAAACTTTCAGCTTCCTATTCCATCAGCTTCTCGTTGTGCTCTTCTTGCAGTTGTCTTTATCTTTTTCAGGAATGGATTTGTTTTTTGAAACAGCCACACACTCTGTGCATTATGTAAATAACATATGAAGACTTCTTTTCATATTAACTACCGAATTCTGTTTTTCTGACAGAGAATGGGTTTCAGTTTTTAACAGCTGCAACAGAAAAAAGATACCCAGATGGGCCTTTTCATCTTCTGCTTCCTTGCCACAGACTGTACTTTCCATACTTTATTTGGAAGCAAAGCAAAGCAGTTGGCTATGTTCTGTAAACTTGCTAAATTAAAGACGATAAATCCTCATATACAAACTGAAAAGACTGCTGAAATGTGTGTGATTCAACACTGGCTTTTCATGCTGGAGTGTTGCGTGTATTTGGAAATAGACTGCAAATAGATGGCAAACCTACTGGAAAGGCAAAATGTGTATAGAAACACTTATCTGTATACCTATTTTAAGGCAGCTGAAATAAAATGTGAATGCACTGAGTAGAATGTACCACTTTAACGAGAGCAGGATACTCTGTATTTCAGTTCCCAAGGAACTTGTGACAGTTGTCTGTCGTAATCCTGATGCTTTAAAGGCAGTATAAAACTTGTCTAGACTTTTTTTGTACTACATTAATATACCACAGTTCATTGGAACAGCTCAGGGGATATGGCTCTCTAATTATACCACAGCCTTTTTTCTGGACCTATTTGCAGGTCCAGGACTTGTGGACCAAGTGTGTACTTCTGGACACATTTACTGGCTTCGCCCTCAGGTAGGATGAGCTGGAACAGTTCTCTGAATTTGGTATTTCATACCAAGATCTGCCTTGCAGTGTTCTGTGAGAGTGTCAATGGAAACAAGAGCAGTTCAACCTTAGATCCATAGTCCATTCAAAGCAAATGCCTTATAATTCAAATGAGAAAACAATACCATTTAGTACTGCTGCACTGCCAAGAGTTTAATGTGCCAGTTGAGTACATTTGCAGGTGAGCTTATCTACAGTCTATGTAACGTATATATAAGAGGTGGAAATGCAAGTGTTGTGCTTACATGGTGCAGGGAATCCAAGACCGGAGGCCCTGTGCTCGCTGAACATCTGTGGCCTCTCTTCCATGATTTGAGCTCCAAGCAGGTGGAATTCATCAATGTGTGAAAGGAAGCTAATCTGAATAGGTGCCATTATGAAAATGCATTTGCAGATGCCAGATTAGCTGTGGAAAAACAGGAAGTCTTTGAGACGAGTGGGAAAAGCATTGTCCAATGCAGAATAAAGTGTCGGTTATTCTCCTCCATCCACACGTGGGTTGGTGAAAGCAGGAGTGGCAGAGGAATGGGGCAGGAGGGGTTGTGCGCAGAGGTGGGCAGTGTGGAGCTGGGGTGAGGTCCAGCCGAAATCCCAGCAGCCACGTTGTGTGGGTCTCTGTGCGGGTCTCTGTGCAAGCCAAAGTGGACACACACGTGAACACACACACAGACTTCCACTGCCGCTCTGGCAAGGGACCTAACCCGAGCTGGCAAACGGCCTGAGGCACAGAGGAGCCGGACTTAGCAAGCTGTGTGCTATCCATGCGTAGAGGCATTTTTTTAAGGATCCATTATTTTACAGCACTGATTTGTTTCCTTCCCTTTCAAACACTGGTACTGCTTAGGAGAAGGGAGCAAGGAAGCAAAAGGACACAGGACTGGACCCAGACCCTGTCCTGGGCATGCTTTGGGGGCTGGCGGGAGCAGCTCGGGCCATGCCCTCCTGCAGATAAACCAGCAGCCCCCTGTCACTCCCTGCAGCCTATCAGTGTGTCTCATCATCTTGCATTTGTTTTATATATGATGTAAACTCTCTTGGGGCAGTGTCCTGCCACTTAAGGAGTCAAAACTGGTATGGTCATCTGTGACTTGCTATATGAAGGTGCAGACTGTTGCACCCAGTAATAGTGAAGTTCACTGCAGCTGTGAATTGGATTTAACATCATTTTAATAGAAGAAAATACCTCAGTAAAAAGACACAGTATACCTGTGAACAGACTGGGGCCACTGCCTCATGCAGCAAAAGGCTTGGAAATGTGTTGTGCACCACTGGAAAGAGTTCAGTGCTGCTTTTGTCTTTAAGTGGAGAAAGACATGATGTATAAGTGCTGAAAACTACATATATTCTGCTAATGCTTTTATAACCTCTTCCTCTTGACCGCAGCACAAGCACAGGCTCCCATAAACAAACAAGCACACACTTCAACCTGTCCTCCTCTCTCTGCAGAAAAGCTGCTCATCCGGCTCCTCAGGGAACTTTGATCCCTTTCCCACCACTCCCTCGACATGGAGCGGCCGTTCCCCGGCTGCAGCCATGGGCTCACTTGGTGACAGCGCCGTGTTTCTTGGGACGGGCAGAGGAGCCGGAGTCCAGCGCTGAATATGGCTACTGGGAACTGCAGCTTTCGGCTGGTAGAGAGCATTAATCACCGTGGTGGAGATATACACAGATTATCAGTGCTAAAAATCACGGGGAATTGAAGTGGTGGGAGGGATTTGGGGAAAAGCCAGTTATGAAAATGGCCTGATTTTTAAGGCATGAGTCACACCATTTATTAAAATAGGCATTTGTACTTTCTAAAGCCTCCTCGGCTCTATGACATCAATGTAAAGCTAATATTTCTGTCTATCTCTGCTGTGCATCAGCCTCCTTGCAAAAGAAGAAAAGGCTGCTTGAGCCTCATGCAGATCCCAGGATTTTATGCCAGAATCAGAAGCGGAAAGAAGATTTGCGTGGTTGTTGCAATTTATATTTTATGTATCTAGGCAGAAACTGTGAAGCAGCCAGGGATGAGAACCAGTAAAGCTGCAACATTAGGTGCTCCCCATCAGAGGAATGCCAAAAGAAATCTGATTTTTCTCTTCGTAACAGTAATGTAAATGGGGAATAACTATCTAAAATCGTTGCCAGTGAAGTTTGCAAACTCTAGGGACAGATAAGACAGTAAACAAATAATTGAACTTTATTAATTAAATGGTCATTACCCAAAAAGAGGTCTGTTTTTGTATAACTAATGATATAACTAGAAGGCATTATATCTAGGAAATGAGAATCTGCTCATTGGTGTGCAGGGAGAGGAGGAGATACAGGGCACAATTTTTTCCCAGGTTACGCTTTTCGTGCAGCACAGTTGT